TGAAGCCATCATAAATACACTGCCTCAATACACCACCGAAATTGAGGGCCTGAAAGTTTGTTACTCTGCAGCGACCTTTGATTTTACTTTGTCAGTGAGGCATACGTTTGTTGCTTAGAATTGATCATGCTCCACTGGTATATCACGTACAGCTAATTACACCGCCTCTATCCCTTTAAATTCCTAGCTTACCATCCGAAATTGACAAAATCAAAGTCTGAACTTCTTCGGCATTCGTTGTTTTCGAGATCCTTAAGCACCCAGAACTGGCGCGAGTGGCACAAATAGCTACTGCCCGCTGCAAAGCTGTAGATGACTCCCTCTCTGCCAAAAGTTGTTCAGAGCGCGCTGATGAGCCCATTAATACCTGACTAGAAATTAATTTGACGGAAACAGTTATTATTTCTGTTTGCGTATCAGAATCTGGTTATTACTGTGCGAGATTTTCTGCTATCAAATATGCATGGTCGGAGCGATCGTCACCGCAAGGTGCTTCTTCAGGTGCATTTCATCCATATGAAACCAGCCAAAGGCACTTATAAAGTTATTGTTCCGTTGCTGCTGGTGCACGGGTGGCCAAGTAATGTTTTCGAATTCTACAAGATCATTCCGATGCTTGTCGATCCAGTGCAACAGCTCGGCTCCGATGTGGACCTCGCCTTCGAAGTGGTGGCACCTTCGATCCCTGGATTTGCATGGTCGAGCGCCCCGAAGAAAACTGGTTAGTTTGTGTTCGACGTGATGAAATAAAAATATTTATGCATGAGCCAGGTGTTATCGTCTTTCAAAGCAGCAACTGCCTGCTAGGTCTACAACAAGACTTACAATACTGCTCGAGAGTTCTGGCTGTGCGTAGCAGCTATATAGGGATACTTATGATTATAGCCCCAGCAGCGTCACTAAAGCTAAAATCTGAATTAAGATTAAGGGTGAAACTGGTGAGAAGATTATTATTCTGTTTTTTCGACAGAATCATTTCAGATACATGTAAAATGCTCATTAACAATAATACGGTACCAATATTTACCTAGATAACTTCATCCTCTTAGCTTCTTGGCCGTTTCTGCCCGTTTGTTCGTTTCATTCCCTTGCTCCTCGGCTTTGCTGTGGTATTTTATATGTAATCAATTGATAGTCCAAGTGATTCCGATATCGTTCGTAAATTTTAATAACACTGTGCAGGCTAGATGTGATATTACCGATATGACGGCCAGCAGCCAGTCGAACCATGCCTGTGCTTTTTCTAGGCTCTTCTAGAGAAGCCACTTGACTGAAACATATGCCTCGCATTTCTGAATGATTCTTCGAGCAGTTGCTTCCTTTCTCATAGCGTCATCATTGCGTAATGTTTCACGACTGATAGTAAGATGTATGAACTGCCATCTTCTTTCGTTGTGTTAAAGCCACTTTTCTGGTTTGCAAATTACCATCGCGAGAAACGCTGTGGTGAAAACTTTAATGATAAGAGATCACCTCTCCTCTCAAGCGACTGGCGCAGTGGGCAGAGTTAGATCAGCTTAATAACTTGTACTGGTTTGTTGGACTGCACGAACAAAGTTCTTGTTAGTTTTCCTCTTGTCGACTGCAACAGCAAACAGAACTCATCCCTTGTTGTCTGCATGAGGTAGCTGTGAAATACTTCACGACTTCGTGAAATTTACAGGATTCAATACGGAAGCCACGGCAAGGATATTTTGGAAGTTGATGACTCGCCTGGGATTCTCGAGGTTTCTTCTGCAAGGTGGCGACTGGGGCTCTCCTATAACAACAAGCATCGCGCTGTATTTTCCTCAACAGTTAGCTCATGTTTTTTATGCCTCCGCTTCAAAGTCTCTTTCGTTTTTGTTGTATACCAAATTGCGAATGGAAAATCTACTCTCTCTAAATTCAAAAGTTATTCGATTTTTGATTCTATTTGTCTCTCGTTCTTTTGCGCAACGGTGGTATGGTACTGGGCTAAGGTATTTGTACTCACTTATAAAACGGAAAACGTCTCCAGCTGTACAAGAAACGCTGAAACGTGGAAGTACTTCACAAAGTCAGCGAGGCACCAAAGATATAGATGGCCAGTGCACAGAGTACTTTTGAGGAACGAGTGAAATTGCTTTGACTTTTGACAAATCTCAAGGATTTTTGTGGAAACAAAGGTTTTTGTGGACTCAGAATTTGTATTTGGGCAATTTTGCAGTCAAAGTGAAATGTCCGGTGTTAAATGTACTAGTGATAGTACTAGTGAAAGTGTTTCTGTGTCCGGTATTTGTATTCTGTTTTAGTAATAGTATAAGTAAAATGAATTGCAGTGTGATCGGTTTGCATCTGAATATGGCCACGGCGATCAGCTGGAAGGCACTGCTCTATCAGCTGGTTGGTTTGGTGTTACCTAAATTGGCTTTTTCATCCGAGACGTTTCACCACTTCAGTCCAAGCACTTACTTTATGGATGTTTTACAAGAGACTGGTTATCTACATATTCAGGCTACCAAGCCGGATACAGTCGGTATGTTTCTGGGATATTTGAATGCACTTCGGCCTCAGCTGATTCCTGTCTCTGTGACTCAGAAGAGCCTCACCGATTATGAAAAATACACCGAGGATGGGTTTATTTCAGCTTCACGTTTCTATTCTCCAGACTAAACCGGACCTCAGTTTTTATGCGTTTTTTGCTGTGTAACAGCAGTACAAAACGCATATTGTTACGGGGTCGTCTGTGTGTGTGTTTGTGTGTGT